CAGAGTAGGACAATAACCCCAGGAGAGCTAGTGACACCCACCAGGGTAGGACAATAACCCTAGGAGAGCTAGTGACACCCACCAGAGTAGGACAATAACCCCAGGAGAGCTAGTGACCCCACCAGGGTAGGACAATAACCCCAGGAGAGCTAGTGACCCCACCAGGGTAGGACAATAACCCTAGGAGAGCTAGTGACACCCACCAGAGTAGGAGAATAACCCCAGGAGAGCTAGTGACCCCCACCAGGGTAGGACAATAACCCCAGGAGAGCTAGTGACTCCCACCAGAGTAGGACAATAACCCCAGGAGAGCTAGTGACCCCCACCAGGGTAGGACAATAACCCCAGGAGAGCTAGTGACCCCCACCAGGGTAGGACAATAACCCCAGGAGAGCTAGTGACCCCCACCAGAGTAGGACAATAACCCCAGGAGAGCTAGTGACACCCACCAGGGTAGGACAATAACCCCAGGAGAGCTAGTGACCCCACCAGGGTAGGACAATAACCCCAGGAGAGCTAGTGACCCCCACCAGGGTAGGACAATAACCCCAGGAGAGCTAGTGACCCCCACCAGGGTAGGACAATAACCCCAGGAGAGCTAGTGACTCCCACCAGGGTAGGACAATAACCCCAGGAGAGCTAGTGACCCCCACCAGGGAAGGACAATAACCCCAGGAGAGCTAGTGACCCCCACCAGGGTAGGACAATAACCCCAGGAGAGCTAGTGACCCCCACCAGAGTAGGACAATAACCCTAGGAGAGCTAGTGACCCCCACCAGGGTAGGACAATAACCCCAGGAGAGCTAGTGACCCCCAACAGGGAAGGACAATAACCTTAGGAGAGCTAGTGACCCCCACCAGGGTAGGACAATAACCCCAGGAGAGCTAGTGACCCCCACCAGAGTAGGACAATAACCCCAAGAGAGCTAGTGACCCCCACCAGGGTAGGACAATAACCCCAGGAGAGCTAGTGACCCCCACCAGAGTAGGACAATAACCCCAGGAGAGCTAGTGACCCCCACCAGAGTAGGACAATAACTCCAGGAGAGCTAGTGACCCCCACCAGAGTAGAACAATAACCCCAGGAGAGCTAGTGACCCCCACCAGGGTAGGACAATAACCCCAGGAGAGCTAGTGACCCCCACCAGAGTAGGACAATAACCCCTGGAGAGCTAGTGACCCCCACCAGAGTAGGACAATAACCCCAGGAGAGCTAGTGACCCCCACCAGAGTAGGACAATAACCCCAGGAGAGCTAGTGACCCCCACCAGGGTAGGACAATAACCCTAGGAGAGCTAGTGACACCCACCAGAGTAGGAGAATAACCCCAGGAGAGCTAGTGACCCCCACCAGGGTAGGACAATAACCCCAGGAGAGCTAGTGACCCCACCAGGGTAGGACAATAACCCCAGGAGAGCTAGTGACCCCCACCAGGGTAGGACAATAACCCCAGGAGAGCTAGTGACCCCTACCAGGGTAGGACAATAACCCCAGGAGAGCTAGTGACTCCCACCAGGGTAGTACAATAACCCCAGGAGAGCTAGTGACCCCCACCAGGGAAGGACAATAACCCCAGGAGAGCTAGTGACCCCCACCAGAGTAGGACAATAACCCTAGGAGAGCTAGTGACCCCCACCAGGGTAGGACAATAACCCCAGGAGAGCTAGTGACCCCCACCAGGGAAGAACAATAACCCCAGGAGAGCTAGTGACCCCCACCAGGGTAGGACAATAACCCCAGGAGAGCTAGTGACCCCCACCAGGGTAGGACAATAACCCCAGGAGAGCTAGTGACCCCCACCAGAGTAGGACAATAACCCTAGGAGAGCTAGTGACCCCCACCAGGGTAGGACAATAACCCCAGGAGAGCTAGTGACCCCCACCAGGGAAGAACAATAACCCCAGGAGAGCTAGTGACCCCCACCAGGGTAGGACAATAACCCCAGGAGAGCTAGTGACCCCCACCAGGGAAGAACAATAACCCCAGGAGAGCTAGTGACCCCCACCAGGGTAGGACAATAACCCCAGGAGAGCTAGTGACCCCCACCAGGGTAGGACAATAACCCCAGGAGAGCTAGTGACCCCCACCAGAGTAGGACAATAACCCTAGGAGAGCTAGTGACCCCCACCAGGGTAGGACAATAACCCCAGGAGAGCTAGTGACCCCCACCAGGGAAGGACAATAACCCCTGGAGAGCTAGTGACCCCCACCAGGGTAGGACAATAACCCCAGGAGAGCTAGTGGCCCCCACCAGAGTAGGACAATAACCCCAAGAGAGCTAGTGACCCCCACCAGGGTAGGACAATAACCCCAGGAGAGCTAGTGACCCCCACCAGAGTAGGACAATAACCCCGGGAGAGCTAGTGACCCCCACCAGAGTAGAACAATAACCCCAGGAGAGCTAGTGACCCCCACCAGGGTAGGACAATAACCCCAAGAGAGCTAGTGACCCCCACCAGGGTAGGACAATAACCCCACGAGAGCTAGTGACCCCCACCACGGTAGGACAATAACCCCAGGAGAGCTAGTGACCCCCACCAGGGTAGGACAATAACCCCAGGAGAGCTAGTGACCCCCACCAGAGTAGGACAATAACCCCTGGAGAGCTAGTGACCCCCACCAGAGTAGGACAATAACCCCAGAAGAGCTAGTGACCCCCACCAGAGTAGGACGATAACCCCAGGAGAGCTAGTGACCCCCACCAGGGTAGGACAATAACCCCAGGAGAGCTAGTGACCCCCACCAGGGTAGGACAATAACCCCAGGAGAGCTAGTGACCCCCACCAGAGTAGGACAATAACCCCATGAGAGCTAGTGACCCCCACCAGGGTAGGACAATAACCCCAGGAGAGCTAGTGACCCCCACCAGGGTAGGACAATAACCCCAGCAGAGCTAGTGACCCCACCAGGGTAGGACAATAAACCCAGGAGAGCTAGTGACCCCCACCAGGGTAGGACAATAACCCCAGGAGAGCTAGTGACCCCCACCAGGGTAGGACAATAACCCCAGGAGAGCTAGTGACCCCCACCAGGGTAGGACAATAACCCCAGGAGAGCTAGTGACCCCCACCAGGGTAGGACAATAACCCCAGGAGCGCTAGTGACCCCCACCAGGGTAGGACAATAACCCCAGGAGAGCTAGTGACCCCCACCAGGGTAGGACAATAACCCCAGGAGAGCTAGTGACCCCCACCAGGGTAGGACAATAACCCCAGGAGAGCTAGTGACCCCCACCAGGGTAGGACAATAACCCCAGGAGAGCTAGTGACCTCCAAAGAAACACTGTCATAAGCTACGTTATGTTACTTGTGTTATGTTGTTCCAGTCACAGCGTTGTGACTTGTTATTCATTATAACCCTTATTATGTCATGAATTGTGTAGTTCATTGTGGATATTATTTAATATTTATCACTGTTGTCACACTGCAAGTGGCACTGACACTGCAAGTGGCACTGACACTGCAAGTGGCAGTAACACTGCAAGTGGCAGCAACACTGCAAGTGGCAGTAACACTGCAAGTGGCAGCAACACTGCAGGTGGCAGTAACACTGCAAGTGGCAGCAACACTGCAAGTGGCACTGACACTGCAAGTGGCAGTAACACTGCAGGTGGCAGTAACACTGCAAGTGGCAGCAACACTGCAAGTGGCACTGACACTGCAAGTGGCAGTAACACTGCAAGTGGCAGCAACACTGCAGGTGGCAGTAACACTGCAAGTGGCAGTAACACTGCAAGTGGCACTGACACTGCAAGTGGCAATGACACTGCAAGTGGCAGCAACACTGCAAGTGGCAGTAACACTGCAAGTGGCAGCAACACTGCAGGTGGCAGTAACACTGCAAGTGGCAGTAACACTGCAAGTGGCACTGACACTGCAAGTGGCAATGACACTGCAAGTGGCAGCAACACTGCAAGTGGCAGTAACACTGCAAGTGGCAGCAACACTGCAGATGGCAGTAACACTGCAAGTGGCAGTAACACTGCAAGTGGCACTGACACTGCAAGTGGCAATGACACTGCAAGTGGCAGCAACACTGCAAGTGGCAGCAACACTGCAAGTGGCAGTAACACTGCAAGTGGCAGCAACACTACAAGTGGCAGCAACACTGCGAGTGTAAGCAGCACTGTAAGTGGAAGCAACACTGCAAGTGGCAGCAACACTGCAAGTGGAAGCAACACTGCTAGTGGCAGTAACACTGCAAGTGGCAGCAACACTGCAAGTGGCAGTAACACTGCGAGTGGCAGTAACCTTGCAAGAGCAGCAACACTGCGAGAGCAGTAACACTACAAGTGGCAGCAACACTGCAAGTGTAAGCAGCACTGCAAGTGATGACCCGTGACCCAGGTCACGGGTCATCACGTGACTAAGACCTGAGTCCCATGACCCAGGTCACGGGTGATCAGTGACTAAGACCTGGGTCCCATGACCCAGGTCACGGGTCATCACGTGACTAAGACCTGGATCCCATGACCTAGGTCACGGGTCATCAGTGACTAAGACCTGGGTTCCATGACCCCGGGCACGGGTCATCACGTGACTAAGACCTGAGTCCCATAACCCAGGTCACCGGTCATCACGTGACTAAGACCTGGGTCCCATGACCCAGGTCACGGGTCATCACGTGACTAAGACCTGGGTCCCATGACCCCGGTCACGGGTCATCACGTGACTAAGACCTGGGTCCCATGACCCATGTCACCGGTCATCACGTGACTAAGACCTGGGTCCCATGACCCAGGTCACGGGTCATCACGTGACTAAGACCTGGGTCCCATGACCTAGGTCACGGGTCATCACGTGACTTAAGACCTGGGTCCCATGACCCAGGTCACCGGTCATCACGTGACTAAGACCTGGGTCCCATGACCCAGGTCACGGGTCGTCACGTGACTTAAGACCTGCTGCAGATGTGTATTTCTGACAGATAATGTAACTTTTCTCAAATTTTGTCTGTGAGTGTTCTTGTATCGCTGACTAACATCTGTCTCTTCTCCACAGATGAGTCTGGCGTGGGCATGGACGATGGCGTGGGTCGCAAGAGTGGGTCGCCCTCGCCCCTGGCGGGATCCATGGGCAGGACCTCCGGTAGGGACTCCATCGCCTCCCACCACACCTCCTCCTCCACCGACAACTCCTGCCTCACCCATCCTGACGACGATATAGAGCGTCTCCTGCAGCTCAGTGAGAAGAAGACCAACTGCCTCACCCCGCTTGGAGTAAGTTCATCTCTCAGTTCTTCTCTCCTGTTGTGTATTTATCACACCCGGTCACCATCGTCAGTACACTGCCACACTTTTCTGTATGATAGTTTTACAGTTCAGGGCATTTATTAAAGGAAACATTTCGCCACTCGTGTGTGGGAAACAGTCAGGTTGCAACACTAGGGTTGAAAACAGTAAATGTATAAAAGACATTCATCGTGAAGTTACAAATAAAGACAATAGATCAGGTCAGCAAACAAAGGGAGACAGCAGAGGGCAGCAAGGAACTAGCTCCCTTTTAAGGTCTACTATACTAATAGCAGGAGTGTAAGAAATAACACAGATGAGCTAAGATTAATTGGAAGTGCAGGAAACATAGATATTATTGCTATAACAGAGACCTGGCTCAACCTGAAAGATAGAGAGATGCCTTCTGAATGTCTATAAATGGCTATAAATTATTCCACACTGACAGGGTCAACAGGAAGGGTGGTGGAGTAGCGATGTACGTCAGAGACAATTTAAATTGTTGTGTTAGACAAGATATAAAATTAGAAGCGTCAGCCACTGAATCTGTTTGGTTACAGCTTCTCGAGGGCCGTGAAAAACTAATTTTGGGTGTAATTTACAGGGCTCAAAATCTTGATAGGGAGTGTAGTAAACTTCTATGGGATGAAATTCGTAAGGCATCTACATACGACATTGTTGTGATAATTGGAGATTTCAACTATAGAAAGATTGACTGGAGCAATTTGACAGGAAATTTAGAGTCAAGTAACTTTCTTGATGCGATTCAGGATTGTTTTTTTAAAACAGTTTGTGACAGAACCAACTAGAGGAAATAACCTTCTTGACTTGGCTCTTGTCAACAGGGAAACGCTAATTAATAATCTTGAGGTTAATGATGAGCTTGGGGAAAGTGATCACAAATCACTCAGTTTTAATATATCATGGAATTGCACTCATAATGGCAATCAAGTCTCTATCCCTGACGTCCGCTTGGCTGATTTCATAGGACTGAAAAATTACTTGGGTGGGCTGAACTGGAATGACCTGACTATGGGTCAGGTAGGTGGCGATGATTGCCGATATGACGCTTTCCAGGGCATAATTGTAGCTGCTCAGACAACTTATGTTACAAATAGGGAAATCAGATCAAACAAAAATGATCCTAAATGGATGAACAATAGATTAAAACATCTCATTGGTCAAAAGAGAGGCATATATTGGCAAATCAAAAGAGGAGGGGGGCAGTTAAGAAATCAATATATTCAGTTAAAGAGAGAAATTAAAAAGGGAATAAGAAAAGCAAAAAGAGATTATGAGGTTAAAGTTGCAAGAGAATCGAAGACTAACCCAAAAGGATTCTTTCAGGTATACAGAAGTAAGATCAGGGACAAGATAGGCCCACTTAAGAGTTACTCGGCTCAGCTTACAGACAGTAATAAGGAAATGTGTAGAATTTTTAACACATACTTTCTCTCAGTTTTTACACAGGAAGATACTAGCGATATTCCAGAAATAATAAATTATGTAGAACAGGACGATAATAAACTGTGCACGATTAGGGTCACAAGTGACATGGTCCTTAGGCAAACTGAAAAGTTAAAACCTAACAAATCCCCAGGCCCTGATGAACTGTTTGCAAGGGTTCTAAAGGAAGGTAAATAGGAACTTAGCAAACTTTGGCTAATCTTTTCAATATATCACTACAAACTGGCATGGTGCCAGATAAGTGAAAAATGGCAAATGTGATACCTATTTTCAAAGCAGGTGACAGGTCCTTAGCTTCGAACTATAGACCAATAAGCCTAACCTCCATAGTGGGAAAATTTATGGAATCAGTAATTGCCGAGGCAGTTCGTAGCCACCTTGAAAAGCATAAATTAATCAACGAATCTCAGCATGGTTTTACAAAGGGGCGTTCCTGCCTTACGAATTTATTAACTTTTTTCACTAAGGTATTTGAGGAGGTAGATCATGGTAATGAATATGATATTGTGTATATGGACTTCAGTAAGGCTTTTGACAGGGTCCCACATCAGAGACTATTGAGGAAAATTAAGGCACATGGAATAGGAGGAGAAATTTTTTCCTGGATAGAGGCATGGTTGACAAATAGGCAGCAGAGAATTTGCATAAATGGGGAGAAATCAGAGTGGGGAAGCGTCACAAGCGGTGTTCCACAGGGGTCAGTGTTGGGCCCCCTGTTGTTCACAGTCTACATAAACGACTAATGAGGGCATAAAGAGCGACATAAGCAAGTTTGCCGATGACACCAAAATAGGCCGTCGAATTCATTCTGATGAGGACATTAGAGCACTCCAGGAAGATTTGAATAGACTGATGGAGTGGTCAGAGAAGTGGCAGATGCAGTTTAATATAGACAAATGCAAAATTCTAAATGTTGGACAGGAAAATAACCATGCCTCATATAAACTAAATAATGTATATCTTAATATTACGGATTGCGAAAAATATTTAGGAGTTCTGGTTAGCAGTAATCTGAAACCAAGACAACAGTGCATAAGTGTTCACAATAAAGCTAACAGAATCCTTGACTTCATATCAAGAAGCATAAATAATAGAAGTCCTCAGGTTGTTCTTCAACTCTATATATCCTTAGTTAGGCCTCATTTAGACTATGCTGCTCAGTTCTGGTCACAGTATTACAGAATGGATATAAATGCTCTGGAAAACATACAAAGGAGAATGACAAAGTTGATCCCATGTATCAGAAATCTTCCCTATGAGGATAGACTGAGGACCCTGAATCTGCACTCTCTAGATAGGCGTAGAATTAGGGGAGATATGATTGAGGTGTATAAATAGAAGACAGGAATAAAGGGGATGTAAATAACGTGCTGAAAATATCTAGCCTAGACAGGACTCGTAGCAATGGTTTTAAGTTGGAAAAATTCAGATTCAGGAAGGATATAGGAAAGCACTGGTTTGGTAATAGAGTTGTGGATGAGTGGAACAAACTCCCGAGTACAGTTATAGAGGCTAAAACGTTGTGTAGTCTTAAAAAGATGTTAGATATATGCATGAGTGGGTGTGGGTGGGTGTGAGTTGGACCTGATTAGCTTGTGCTACTAGGTCAGTTGCCATGTTCCTCACTAAGTGAATGTGACCTGATCTGACTAGGTTGGGGCATTGGCTTAAGCCGTTAGGAGACTTGGACCTGCCTCGCATGGGCCAATAGGCCTGCTGCAGTGTTCCTACTTTCTTATGTTCCTATCATGTAGTGGAGAGAGCGGTGACTAGTATTGAGGGTGAGGTGGACTGCACAATATGGGCATCACGTAATGGCTGATCCTGTTATAGACAGCAGTCTGTCAGCCAAGAGTTTGAACACACTGAAAGTCTCTATTTTTTTTTTTTTTGATTCGTATTGGTGGTAATAAAAAAAAATGTAATCATAGGCGTCTTCATCGGAGCCTCCACAATCTATAATCCACAGTTCCTGGAGAAGGAATGCGTCCATTTAGCACATATACAGTTAGTTTGGTACAGTTCCTCCCCGCACTTTGCGGGAACGTGCAGCTAGTGCGGCATATGTATAGTAAACAGAGCAAACGCTGTCTCAACAGTAGGAGCTGCCAGATATAACATTCTGCGGGCCAGCGAAATGGCATTTAATATTTAATAACAAACTCGTTCAAGTAGTCTCCAGCTCTTCATTATCTATCAAAAACCGTAGGGAATATGATTAAAAAAAATCCTGAGGATTGAAGATTCTATGATCTACGGAAAGATGCTTATGAAAATCTTGATGCAGAATCATCAAAGCGAATCTTCGACCAGCACAGGAGTAAACATTGCACCATGTGGGGGATATGATAAAAAGTATGTGGGAGAAACTGCTGGATGTTTGGAAATCAGAGATCAAGAACAGATACGCCTGTAACCGGGATAACAGCAGCAACAACAACACAGATGATTGTAGTCATCTGTGAAAACAACCATCAGAGACATTTATTGAAAGCTGCCTTAACTGCCTCCACTGACAACATCCAACAGAGTTCTGGGAAATTCAGAAGTTTCAAACTTTACGGCAGCAGAATGACCCGGGGGTTATCGCCCAGGGGCGCCAACATCTGGGGGATCTACAAGTTCAAGAGAAACTTACTTAAAATTATCTAATCAAATATTTAAAAGTACAGAACTTAATACTGACGTAAGAAATGTAAAAAAAAAAATTATTTTGTTAAAGAAAAGTATTTTCTTAAATTCATAATTCGTTCTGACTACCAAACTTGAAACTTTTGGAATGTGTTGAAGGTTGAATCAGGACGAGGAAAGTTTTGATCCAGCTCAGGACGGATGGTGGATATAAGGTGAAAAAAAAGGGCTAGAAGATTTTTTTTATGTTATTTTAACCAAATTCGATTAGGGTTGGAAGGTGAAGCATGGCAGCAAGTGCATTGTTAATAGAAGGATACTGTGATACCTGGAGGTTACCTGGAGGTTATTCCGGGGATCAACGCCCCCGCGGCCCGGTCCACGACCAGGCCTCCCGATGGATCAGGGCCTGATCAACTAGGCTGTTACTGCTGGCCGCACGCAGTCCGACGTACGAGCCACAGCCCGGCTGATCCGGCACCGACTTTAGGTATCTGATAGATATGTTTTAGCCTCTCCTGTAGGATCTACAGTGGAGAGAGAGAGAGAGAGAGAGAGAGAGAGAGAGAGAGAGAGAGAGAGAGAGAGAGAGAGAGAGAGAGAGAGAGAGAGAGAGAGAGAGAGAGAGAGAGAGAGAAGTATAAGCTATAGAAAAAATATAATTCTCTAAGAAGGTTGACTGAGATTTAGATTTTGCCACCGAAATGGCTAGTTTATTGTGCATCCCATATCCATCCTGTGGAGGGTAACACAAGAGCATATGAATATACAAAAAAAAGCCTAGTAACTAGGCCCCCAAAGGGGGTTACAGGTGTGTGGGTTGATTGAGAGGGAGCAAGATAATGGGTTATTTTCAGCGACTCTGTTAGTGTACTGCAGAACATAATAGA